AGGCCGAAAGCGAGGGGACTAGAGGCGGGAAGCACATGGAATGCGGGGGGTAGCAAGGGAGAATGAGGCAGGAAGCAAGGGGGACGCGGCTGTGAAGCAAGGGGGAATGAGGGAGGTAGCAAGTGAGTATGAGGCCCGAAGCAAGGGGGAATGAGGCCTGAAGCAAGGGGAAATGGGGAGGGTATCAAGGGAGAATGAGGAGGGTAGCAGTGAAGAATGGGGTGGGAAGCAAGGGGGAATGGGGTGGGTAGCAAGGGGGGATGAGGCCGGAAGCGAGGGGACATGAGGCAGGAAGCAGAGGTAATGAGGCGGGAAGCAGGAGGGGGTGAGGCGGGTACGTGGGAGGGATAAGTGTGTGAGTGAAGAACATGGAAGCGGGTATCATGGGGGAATGTGGACAAGATCAATACGGAATTGTTTGTTCATCCGTCCTGCCAGCTTGATATGCCAACAAACATGACACAAAGCGCAATGGAGAGGCCTTGAATCAGTCCTGCATGACTTGACAACAAGTGTGGCCAAATGAGAGTGTTGGCCACAACCAGTCCTCCATGTCTAGAGAACACTACCCGTAGGGAATTGTTTGTCACTGGCGTTCCTGCTTGACATGTATACAAACAATACACAATGGGTCTGTGTGATGCTGCAAAACATACCTGCATGTCGCCACAACTCTAGTGGGTAGAACAGCAGGGGTTTCTCAACTCCGTTCCAGCATGAACCTAGAACATACAACACAGCATGGTCTTGGGTCCCTGCATAAAGGTTGCCCTGTATGGCATGATAGCAGCCATGCCCCATACAGGGAGTTTGTGTCTGGCTCTATTACCGTATTATTGCACCTCAATTGGCATGAGAGGAGACATGCCCATACGCGTTGCATAACGACCAGGCAGCAATCAAATAATGCGTACTTACTAATCATTCGATGTATCGGAATGACTGCTCCACCGCAGATCGTTATGTGCATGTTCTGTGAAGGTGGTGTTTGGTTTTACACTGTTATGTTGCATACTTGACACTATGCTAATGGGTTAGGGGGACACCTATTACGAGTGCAATTGAGTGAGCGAACGAGGATTGCACTATCGGGAAAAAGGTACAACTTAGCGAAGGATTGCTATTAACAATGCACTATTTTCCTAAATAAGACAAGTGCATGCAGTTTCCTACTCTATCTAGTCTAGTGCACGGGCTTGTCTATGCAGTACACCTCCTCCACATCCTCATCGTCCGACAGGAATGGACTGTCCTCCACTTCCTCCTCCCCCACAATCTCTTGATCGTCGTCAAAGGCCTGTTCCACTTCATCGTCCTCCTCCTCCTCCTCCTCATCCTCATTCTCCCAGCCATTTCGAGCAGCCACATCTTCACCCTCCTTCTGCTTCCCTTTCCTCTCCCTCTCTGCTACAGCCAGCTTCAAGCTCTTCGCAGGGCGCCTAGTACGCAGGGACCTCCACACCTCCAGTGCCTCCGGCCAGTCGATCTCATACTTGAGGAGCGATATCTGCATCAGCTCCCCCAGAGGCGCATTGCACAGCGCTTCTCGCGCCCAGGACTTGATGACGTTCTGCCTGGAGAACCCCCTCTCGCACTCCACGGTGGAGAGAGGGAGCACAGCCAGCGCCTGCCACAGCATGATGAGGTTGGGCCATCTCCTGCCAGGCACATGCGACACAACGGAATTAGTTAGCAATCTACAAGATTGTAAAACCCATGGACGCAGAGTAAATGCTACCTCTTGGATTCTGCGCTCCCAAGGAAGTTGGACAGGCCCTGGGTGAAGCTCTCCATCTCATGGTGTGCCTCCATGATCGCGCTGAAGGTTGGAAGCTCCCTCTCTGCTGCTTTGATGTCGAATCCCGGCAGCTTGTTGCGGAACAACTTGCTGCACCCGTTCAGCCACTCCTTACACTTCTTCTCTTGCTGGGCCTTGATCTTCGGCCACTTGCCCGCCCGGAACAGCTTCGTCGGCCCCAGCTTCCCAAGTTCATCCAGTCGGTTGGTGAGGTTGTCCACGCAGTCACGGGCGAATATGCGGCACAGCTTCACGCAGTCTGCGTAGGTGCTTCCGTGTTTGTGCCCCTTCAGCTTCCGCTCATGCATGGTGTACAGGTGGTTGATAGGGCGCCCAGCACCGTCCACGCCGCGCACCCGGACCTGCTTGCCTCCACCCTCCTTGTGGACTTTGTGGAAGTTCACCAGCCAGCTCTTCCCTCCGAGCTCGTAAGCTTTCTCTGGCGTCAAGTAGCGCTCCACCAGGTCACTCGTTGTGGACTCGATCATCTTCGCAATCTCTGTCACGTCCAGCTGTGGCAGAGCAGGGGTAGACAAAAGGGAGAAGGATGAGCAACAGTGCAGTTACGAACCTCACGTAGCAACATCATACAAACATGCGACCTCACCTCTCGTCTCTGGAAGCAGCGGTTGAGGTCGTTCATGTCCGCCAAGATGTCGGCCAAGAAAAACAAGCAGAACTGAAACTTGTAGCAGGTAACAGTCTCGTACGCCTTGTGATTGTGCTCCCAGAGCAGAACGATGCAAGCGCCGAGGACCTTGCACAGCCTGGCCACCGCATCTCCTCGAGACAGCCACCGCACCGTGTGTATGCCTTGGACTTCCAGGTTGGTCTTGTAAATCACACGCTGCAGGTACTTGAACCGCTGACTCCACACGCTGGAGTTTCCGAGCAGAGTTGCCACAGTGCGCACCACCTTGTCGACCATGTCGAGATCCGGGTTTGACTCAGCGGCGTCCTTCACAGCCAACGCCTCACTGTGTAAAGCAGAGAACAAATATTATGGTTTGTTAGTAAACCCTTTGAACGAGAGAAAAATGGGACAATGAAGGCACGTAATGGAAATAACACACTAGTGAACAAAGGAACGTTGGCTGCTGGTATGGGGAGGGAAGGGGAGGTTGGAGATGGCGGGAGCACGAAACCACCGCGCCGCGATTCCACGAACTTGATGGCAACATTCCTAGATGAATTCGTCCTTGCATTCAAGGCCGAATTCATTCAAGGACTCCTTGGCTGCCACCGCGTGCTGTCTACAGGCCATTCTGGCCAATGGCAGATACATGCTGTGCACTGTGCGGTGCGCGTGGCTGCACCGTCTCATTGAGTTGGCTGCGTTGGCGTGGTTGCCAGCTGTGATGTACAGCACGTAAGTGGTGTCCTTTGTCATTATTACGCATACTCTGCATGGACAGAGTCGGCATGTACACTACTCTGAGCCTAGTTACAAGAATTCAGAGTCCGTTAAGTATCTACTCTGATAGCACCAGAGTTCACAAAATACACAACCTGTGTTTGCAGGGACCACCAAGTCGTAAGCCAGTAATCACCCTGAAATCAGGGTAATTACCCTGATATCGTCAGCCCTGGCCGTGAGGTCGGGGTGCGACGTGCGAAAGTGGCGGGCGGATTGTCGATGCGAGTGGTAACGGTGCTGACTGAGGTGCTACAGTGATGGATGCGTTTAGCAGGGATGCGAAGTAAGGAAAACGAGATTTTGCTTACAACTGCATAACCCCCTAATTCCACTCTTAACATGTAGGTACACCACACTATTGAGGCTTTGCAAACTAATGTGCCATTACGTGCCCCGCCCTGCGCCATTCCACTCGACTCCACGCTATGCCACGTACGCGAACCTCCCTGATTTGCGAACCAGTCGCAACCACACACAAGGAACTTTTGAGTCTGCGTTTTTATCGCAGACGTGCCGCAACGGCTTCGTGTCGACCTGTCGCATCGCTGTACGACTTGCTGCGATCGAGCGTCGCCGTTTCTCCGCAGACCCTATGTGACTCTTGACGTGCCAGCTTGTGTAGGTTTGTGTGGCACGCGAGGCACTTATTTGTAAACAGTACGACAACCCGGGCAGAATAATTATGACCCTCGCGAACCCAGATACAGTATTGCATTTGACTGTCGGGTTTAACAAAAAAAAGCCCACCCTGCCGCTTGTGGACTGATACTCAATTAAGCACGTTAGGTCCCACGGAATCTTAACACGGCAGTGCTGCATTTTTTTCCTTTATACCCCTCAACCCTCAGGCGATTGGTTGAGGGCGGAAATGGGGGACCTGGCAGTCGCAACGTGCACCATAGCAGGAAACACTCAAACCCTCATCACCTCCGTGCTCCCCTTGCATGCCTCCAGATGTGACGATCGCCTGCTCTAGGCCCCAGACTTTGCCTCGTCCCTCACCCTCCTCAACCAATTTCTTATGCTCGTAGACTGCTGTCAGGTTCTAGGTGTTAGCACAACCCGCAACCTCATAGTACTGCGTGAATGGAAAGCTAGACATGGTAACAAGGAAATCAGACAATGAAGGGGCCCGAGGGGGCGATCGTACTGGCTGAATCGACTAAAACCCCCGACGAAACAAACTTTGGCGAGTTAGTAACAGCAGATAAGACGGCCGAGCTCGTAATCGAGTATCGCAAAAATAATGCGTCGACGTCGCGAGATGTTGTTGGGGCCAGACGTGTCTCGTCATCCGGTGACGAATCGAATAGCGACTGCGAGGTGGAGCCATACGCAAACAAGGGCATATCATCCCCTTCGAAACCAAGGGATAAGCGCGTGAAGCGCTTAGATGATCTCGTTCCCAAAGGCGGCCAGAAAGGTATGTGTTTATGGTCGCAGATGCGGAATATTCTACTTGTATGCATGAATTGATGCTTGTAGTCGTGTCTGACCTGTTGGAGGTTATCGTCTCTCCAATTGTGTTTCCACATCAGCGATAGCGGACAAGCGAGACAACCGGGGGGGCCGTAAGCACCGTCCAAGAAAAAGAGGCACTCGTTCACATCGTGAGGAAACGCCTGCGTGTGAAGGCGACGAGGAGGGCAAAGACGGGGGACCTGACAGCTTAGGTACGCTGTGGGTGTGATATCGACGCTTTATATTTTGCACGTTACTCATAACAATGACGCCGCATGTCATGCTGCAACTCCCTATATATTGTTTATATCTTATGTACCTGTCATGTCCGCCTTCGCAGATGGGACGGCAGGCCAACGCGCTCGTGGTGGCGGAAAGCGCAACGGCGGCAGGGCTGCCGCGGCCAAGGGCGGTCCCTCGGGCAGGCAGTCGCAGGATGCGGATGGAGGCGACGAGGGGGATCATGCCGAGCCGGAAGCTCGTGGTGGCGGAAAGCGCACCGGCGGCAGGGCTGCCGCGACCAAGGGCGGTCCCTCGGACTCGCAGGATGCGGATGGTGGCGACGAGAAGGATCATGCCGAGCCGGAAGCTACTGGTGGCGGCATACGCAACGGCGGCAGGGCTGCCGCGGCTAAGGGCGGTCCCACGGGCAGGCAGTCGGAGGATGCAGATGGTGGCGACGAGGGGGATCATGCCAAGCAGGAAGCTCGTGGTGGCGGCATGCGCAACGGCGGTAGGGCTGCCGCGGCCAAGGCCGGTCCCTCGGGCTCACAGGATGCGGATGGTGGCGACGATAAGGATCATGCCGAGCCGGAAGCTCGTGGTGGCAGCATGCGCAACGGCGGCAGGGCTGCCGCGGCTAAGGGCGGTCCCTCGGGCAGGCAGACGCAGGATGCGGATGGTGGCGACGAGAAGGATCATGCCGTGCCTGCATGCCGTGGCGTTAACGATCATGATGAGGACGAGCCAGCAGCTGTGACTGATGGGAAAGGTGGACGTGAAGCTGTGATTCCCTACCAACGGCGCAAGGCTGTGGATCCGGGCAGTTGCGACCATAAGGCGAGACAAGCTCGGCGCGGCCCCAATGTGCACGTTTTGAGCTCGTCTGGTTCCGAGGAAGATTCGAGCGACAGTGAGTCGGGCAGCTCATCCGGGAGTGAGGAGGTATACGAGGACGAGGTTGAGGAGGAGGAGGACGAGGATGATGAGGAGTTGGAGCCGGAGAGCGAGGATGGGGAGGAGGCTCGGCCTTTGCAGAGGAGGAGTGTGAGGAAGCTCAAAAAGGGCAACGCTAAGCAAAAGTCGGAGAGGGGACGGGTAAAGATCTGTAAACAGAGTGTGCGTCGTGCCAAACCACAAGGCAAGCGCCAGAGACCTCGATTTGAAGCTAAAATAGTGGGTGTGCGTAGCAAGGCGAAGCGGGAGTTGAATTTTTACGAATCAATGGGGAGACGATGTCCATCAAGCTCTCATGAACGGCAAGCCGCGGACCCGTACGCTGCGTTACGCGATCCGAGGGGTTCGGCTGGGAAGGGAGATCAGATGGCTTGGGGGTCAGCGCGGTTTGGCAAAGAAGCGACGGACCCGCCCCCCAACCATATGGGGGGTCGCGCGGTTCATGTGAAGAACGAGGGGGCAACGAAGCGGCACGAACCCTCGGTAGCTGCAGCAGCGAATGACGGTCTGGGAGGTGTGTGGGCGAATGCCTTGGGTGAATGTGGCGGCGGTGTGGAAGGCTCCATGTGGGATATACGGGAGAGCAGGGGAGAAGGGGGGGACGAGAAAATGGATCCAGCGACTAAGGAGGGGAGGGGAGAGAGCATGGGCACACCTGGCGCATCCAGTCGGCCGGATGTGGCTGGCGGCAGGACTGTGGAGCAGCTCATGCGAGAGCTTGCCCAGCGGGATCGCGAAATCGCTGCACTCAAGGCAAGGCCAGGATCAAAAGGAGCTGTCAAGCCCTGCACCCCTCCATCTAGGCCTCCTCCTCTAGCATCTCTGTCGAGCGGCCCATCTATAGGGGGCCTCGATCCAGACGTGGCGCCAGAAAGCCCAGCGACGGTAGACGTAGCGGTCCGTCGAACGCGTGGGATGCCCACACCCAAGCTGCTGAAGGTGAGATTGTTTTAGTGTTAAACAATATGTGGCATGGGGCTCAGTGATAGCTGCAGCTCTCTCTCTCAACCCCTCTTGCTGCTGGTAAGCGTGTTTGTGGCATTATGCGCAGTGATAGTGGCATGTCTGCAGTGGGATAGGCATTCCCAGTACGCCTCGCTTCAGGGACGTGGCGCTGGGCATACGATGCTCTCACATTCTGCCCCCGACCCAGAGCTCACCATAGCAGTTATCCATCCTCCATTGGCCCCTCTCTCCCATCCCTTCCCACCCTAAACCAGAGCCCCTGTTCATGGTGCTGGTGCTGGTGTGGGTGGCACGCGGCGCAAGGATAGCTCATTGTGTCAGTAATCCTTCCTATCCCTCCCCCCTCTCTCCCATCCCTCGCCTAGCTCTTCCAGAGCCCCTGTTCCTGGTGCTGGTGGTGGTGTGGGTGTCATGCGGCGGAGGGATAGCTAAGCATAGCAATCATCCTTTATCTCACTCCCCGCTCTCTCCCATCCCTCCCCTCCCTCTGCGAGAGCCCATGTTCATGGTGCTGGGTGTGGTGTGGAATACATGTCGTGTGGCGGAGGATAGCTAAGCATAGCAGTCATCCTTCATCTCACTCCCCTCTCTCTCCCATCCCTCCCCGCCCTTTGCGAGAGCCCCTGTTCATGGTGCTGGGGGTGGTGTGGGTGTCATGCGGCGGAGGGAATAGAGGAAGCCGTATCCGTCAATCCCACGCGGCCCCCTTTCTGTCCGCCGCTCCTCCCTCCCCTCTCTATCCCGTCCCTCTCCCTCGTCGTCCAGAGCCACTGTAAAAGGTGCTGCTGGTCACGCGTGTGGCATGCAACGTAGCGTGCAGGGGGGTGGCTGCAGTGGAAGTTGAGACTCCTCGTACGAGGAGAACATGGACCCTCGCGCTGGGCGTACGGTGCCCTCTCAATGTGCTTACTCTCCCGTCTTTCGCTCTGACTATTGTATCCCCCCTCTCTCCCCTCTCACTCGTGCATCGCTCCCCTACCTCAACCAGAGCTCCTGTTCATGGTGCTGGTGGTGGGGTGGGTGTCATGTGGCGGAGTGATCGTAAAGCGCAGCAGTTATCCTTCCCATCCCTCCCCCCTCTCTCCCATCCCTCCCCTCCCTCTGCGAGAGCCCATGTTCATGGTGCTGGGGGTGGTGTGGGTGTCATGCGGCGGAGGGATAGCTAAGCATAGCAGTCATCCTTTATCTCACTCCCCGCTCTCTCCCATCCCTCCCCTCCCTCTGCGAGAGCCCATGTTCATGGTGCTGGGTGTGGTGTGGAATACATGTCGTGTGGCGGAGGATAGCTAAGCATAGCAGTCATCCTTCATCTCACTCCCCTCTCTCTCCCATCCCTCCCCGCCCTCTGCGAGAGCCCCTGTTCATGGTGCTGGGGGTGGTGTGGGTGTCATGCGGCGGAGGGAATAGAGGAAGCCGTATCCGTCAATCCCACGCGGCCCCCTTTCTGTCCGCCGCTCCTCCCTCCCCTCTCTATCCCGTCCCTCTCCCTCCTCGTCCAGAGCCACTGTAAAAGGTGCTGCTGGTCACGCGAGTGGCATGCGGCGTAGCGTGCAGGGGGGTGGCTGCAGTGGAAGTTGAGACTCCTCGTACGAGGAGAACATGGACCCTCGCGCTGGGCGTACGGTGCCCTCTCAATGTGCTTACTCTCCCGTCTTTCGCTCTGACTATTGTATCCCCCCTCTCTCCCCTCTCACTCGTGCATCGCTCCCCTACCTCAACCAGAGCTCCTGTTCATGGTGCTGGTGGTGGGGTGGGTGTCATGTGGCGGAGTGATCGTAAAGCGCAGCAGTTATCCTTCCCATCCCTCCCCCCTCTCTCCCATCCCTCCCCTCCCTCTGCGAGAGCCCATGTTCATGGTGCTGGGGGTGGTGTGGGTGTCATGCGGCGGAGGGATAGCTAAGCATAGCAGTCATCCTTTATCTCACTCCCCGCTCTCTCCCATCCCTCCCCTCCCTCTGCGAGAGCCCATGTTCATGGTGCTGGGTGTGGTGTGGAATACATGTCGTGTGGCGGAGGATAGCTAAGCATAGCAGTCATCCTTCATCTCACTCCCCTCTCTCTCCCATCCCTCCCCGCCCTCTGCGAGAGCCCCTGTTCATGGTGCTGGGGGTGGTGTGGGTGTCATGCGGCGGAGGGAATAGAGGAAGCCGTATCCGTCAATCCCACGCGGCCCCCTTTCTGTCCGCCGCTCCTCCCTCCCCTCTCTATCCCGTCCCTCTCCCTCCTCGTCCAGAGCCACTGTAAAAGGTGCTGCTGGTCACGCGAGTGGCATGCGGCGTAGCGTGCAGGGGGGTGGCTGCAGTGGAAGTCGAGACTCCTCGTACGAGGAGAACATGGACCCTCGCGCTGGGCGTACGGTGCCCTCTCACTCTGCCTACTCTCCCATCTTTCGCTCTGACTATTTTATCCCCTCTCTCTCCCCTCTCACTCGACCATCGCTCCCCTACCTCAACCAGAGCTCCTGTTCATGGTGCTGGTGGTGGGGTGGGTGTCATGCGGCGGAGTGATAGCTCACCATAGCAGCTATCCTTCCTCTCCCTGCACCCTCTCTCCCATCCCTCCCCCACCTCTTCCAGAGCCCATGTTAATGGTGCTGTTGTTGGTATGGGAGCCATGCGGCGCAGTGATGGCAACAGCCCTCTCTCTCAACCTTTGAATTCCGCCCTTCATTCGGAGGCATCACTCAATTTTACGTTTCCAATCCACCCGTCCGTCATAGGTTCATTTCGCCGTGGGGCGGGACCGGATGTGCCTAGAATGGCCAGATGATGCCATAGACTTCTACCCAACGCTCGAACAGCGCCTTCAGGTTTTGTATCAGGTTATCAGCGAGACGCACATAATTAAGCTGATGCAGCTGCGAGAGGCTATGGAAGACAAAAACATCGTCGACGGCTTCAAACGCGCTTGGACGTCATGGAAGAACGATCGTGGCTTCCACCTCAAGCGCAGAGTGCTTGTAACTTTCGGCAAGAATGTGCAAGGCCTGCGTGCAGCCGATCTCTGGATGGGCACCAAGAAGAAGAAGAAGATGTGGAGAAAATACCAACCGAGTGAGTACGCGCGTTTCTGTTTTACTTCACCATTCATTTCATCTGCTCGTGCACCCCTCGTGACGATGATGAACAACTTACCCTAATGCATCCCCACTGTGGCACGCAACTACATACCTGCTCTCCTTGCCCAGGCTTGTAGCGCATGTGCAGTCACATCCGCATGACAGCTTAACGTTGGTTCTTCTCCCACTCTCCCCTTCTCCCGCCCCCCCTTTAATCTACAGCTCTCCCCTTCCCTCCCGCCATCCCGTTCTCTCCCTCCCTCCATTTCTCTTCAGCCCTCCCCTTCTCTCCCGCCCTCCATGTCTCTCCTGCCCTCCCCCTCTCCCCTGCCCTCCCCTTCTCTCCCGCCCTTCCCTGCTCTACTGCCCTCCAGCCAACCCTCCATTCATTCTATACCGCCCTCCACTTCGTCCATACCCTTTGGACAACCCCTAACCATGTCGTGCATGATCTTCGTCCCCGCCTTGTCCTGCGTGCGCGCAGGAGGGAATCGGCGGGTCAGCTCGTGGGGAAACAGCAGAGACGGGCTCCCGTTTGCCAACGGCCGGTTTGTAGATGCGGTCCGGGAAGCATTTCGGAATCTCTGTGTCGGGCGCCGGGTGTGCGTCAAAGCCTACCACATTGCCTGGTCAATCATGGTGGTAAGGCATTATTGCTCTCCCGTCAGTTCGCTCTAGCTTTGCTTGCAATTCTTGCCCGCCAGACTGGAATGTGGGGCTATTTGCGCAGCCCGTGAACTCTACTCCGTCAGTGTCCACATATGTCTCTATTTCCCCTCTTTCCCATACTTTGCTACGCTTTTTCAGATTGACCAGGGCTTGGCAAAGGTTAAGAAGACCGACTGGAACGTCTCAAACTCCCACCGCAAGAACACCGAGTGGATGACGGGTTTGCACCGAAATGTGCGGTGGATTATCAAGGACCACTTCACACGCCACACCCCCGTGTACAACACAGTCGTGCAGGGCTTCAAGTGGGGCGACCGTGGCCTGTATGTTCACGAGTCAGGATTTGAGGCGTTCAAGGGGAAGGCCGTGCCTGACGAGGAGAAGAAGGACTTGAAGGAGGAAGAGCAGGAGGTGTACGACGCGGAGGACTTGAAGACGGATGACGAGGAGGATGACGAGGATCAGGAGGAGGAGGAGGAGGAGGAGGAGGAGGAGGAGGAGGAGGAGGAGGAGGAGGAGGAGGAGGAGGAGGAGGAGGAGGAGGAGGAGGAGGATGAGGAGGAGGAGGAACAGTGGGGGCAGGAGCGGAGGAAGAGCAAAAGGCACAAGAGATGCAAAAGCAGGGGAGGCAAGAGGGATGAGCAAGAGGATGAGGATGAGGAAGAGGAGGAGGAGGATGTGGAACGGGGGGGGCGGGAGCTTAGGAAGGGCAGAAGGCAGAAGAGAGGGAAAATCAAAGGAAGCAAGGGGGAAGAGGAAGAGGATGAGGAGGAGGAGGAGGGGGAGCAGGCGGATGAAAATCATAGGGGGCAGGAGAGGAGGAAGGGCAGAAAGCACAAAAGAGGCGGAGGCAAGGGAAGCAGGAGGGAAGAGGTAGAGGAGGAAGAAGTAGAAGAGGAGGAAGAGGATGAGGATGAGGATGAGAAGGGGGGGGGGCAGGAGCGAAGGAGGGGCAAAAGACACAAGAGTGGCAAACGCCGGGGAGGCAAGAGGGTCAAGCGATGGGGCGACTAAACAAGGGGGGCAGCAGATGAGGCATGAGTGGAGTTTACAAGGGGGGGCAGCAGGATAGGCATCACACACTTGCGAGGAGACATCAAAACGGAGGTAGAGGCATTGGTGGAGACAGCTAGGGGGGCAGCGCCAGGCAAGAAAGTAGAGTCAGCATGGGGAGTAGCACGGGCGGCAAAAGCGTGGAGTCAGCAAGGGGGGCATTAGTAGAGACAATGTGAGGAGTGTCCAAGGGTGGGCAACCAGCAAGGCAACCAGATAGTGCAAGAGGGTGCAGCAGAAAAGGCATGAGTTGAGAGAGTTGGGGGGGCAGCAGAAAAGGCACGAGCAGATAGAGGGGAGAGCACAGGGGGGGCAGCAGGTTAGGCATGACTGGAGCAAGCAGCAGTAAAGGCATGACTGGGGAGCGCCAGGGGCGGAGCAGCAGACGCATGAGAGGGCAGAGCATGCAATGAAGCAGTGGACGCAGGGGCAAGGTCAACCTAGAGCACCAGAGATGGGGTTCGGTGGAAGACATAGTGTACTGGAGCATGCTAAGCAGGTCGTAGGATGATGCAGCTCAACCTAACTGACTAGGCACAGAGGGTTTAGGATGCTGTTTTATGTGCGTTTTTAGGGTGGAATTATCAGCTTTTACCAAAGCTTCTGTATTGTTCATTTGGAATGCAAGATTGAGGCAACTTAACATAGTTTTAAATTACATATAAGGTCGTGCAAGTCTCCTACATAAACTTATTTTAATGAACCCGAAATCCCATAAAGAGTACATTGCAATGAGATCCGATCTTCGAAATTGCTCTGCGGAAACTTGTACCAAACTTCTTCCGAAGGTGTTCACCTGGCAGGTTTGAACAGAAAATCATTGGAGAAGCATTTGAAAAGCGTTCGAGAAAGCATTTGGAAAGCAACCTATACTTTCTCATAAAAGCGTTCGAAAAACGTCGTTCATGAATCATTCGACAAAACTCCAAAGCAACTTTTTTCATCGGTTTTCCGGATGCAGGATTTTTGTGATGCCAGAGCGCCACAGGATGAGCAGGATAGAAGTCCCCGAGGTAGGAGGGGGGTGGAGGACGGAGGGAGGGAGCGCGGGAGGAACAACCCCCGAGGCGAGGTGAGTTTCAGGGAGCAAGAGAGCGGGGAAGGAGGCGAGGAAGAGGGAGGGCGTACGGAGAAAGCGAGAGGAGGGCGGAGAGAGAAGGAGGGCGACCAGCGGAGCAACCAGCAGAGCAACAAGCGGAGCAATGAGAAGGTATACAATGGGAAGGTATACAATGGGAAGGTACACAAGGGGAAGGTATACACCATAATGCGGCACACAGAGGACCTCTTTGCCCCCAGTGGTGCTGGCCAAGTGGTTTTCTTCCCGGCCAACTGCCCTGCAGGGTCCGTTGTTGGGACTGAGGTTCGGGGCGCTCTCACTCCCGGCCGCTCCCAGGGGAGGTCTGGCCGGACCTCGTTCCGGGCAGCTGAGAAAAGTTTTCTGCCGGAATTTGAGACGACGGTGATGGATTTGAAGCTGGATTTGAAGGCAGCAGGGGCTGCTGCTGCAGCTGGTGGTGCTGCTCCTGCTGTTGGTGCTAGTGTTGCAAGCTCGAGCAAAAGAGGCCTGGGAAAAGGTCCAGGGCGAAGCCCCAAGGAGCGAAGAGGGCTTTCTCATGGCGATCTCAGCGTTGACCTGGGCGTTGACCTTAGCAGGGACCTCGTTGACCTTTAAGGGGACCTGGTCAGCACGCCTGGAAAGGAGACGAGAGAAAGGGAGGTGGGTGAGGAAGGAGCGGGCACGGGAGGGGGTAAGGGTAGGGGAGAAGGAGAAGGAGAGGGAGGGGAGGGAGAAGGAGAGGGAGGGGAGGGAGAAGGAGAGGGAGAAAGAGAGGGAGAAGGAGAGGGAGGAGAGGGAGAAGAGAAGAGCTTGTGACAATTCAGCCTTGGGGGCACCTGATAACAGTCAGAGCAGCATCTCAGGCAGCAGCAGCAGCAGCAACCAGGGCAGCAGCAGCCAGATCGTCAGCAAGCAAAGCCAGTGCATCAGCCCTTCACGAATCGAAATGCCTGTCTCTCCCCATACCCCTCCTGCCTCCTCAAGCTTCAAAGCCCGCTTTCTAAGGAGCATGCTGTCCCCGAGGGGGCTCATAGGCTCGTGGCGGGCTCCTACAGTGGGGCTTTTAGGCCAGGAGATTTGCTCTCTGCAGGAGCGGTACTTAGTTAAGTAGGAGATCGGGGAAGGTTCGTATGGGATCATCCGGGCAGTGCGGGAGAAGGCGACGGGGAAGATGTGGGCATGCAAGAGCATTGACAAGGCACAGATTCAGGTGTGTGTGTGCGTGCGAATGCGTGTGTGCATGTGTGCATGCGGGAGCGGGTCGTATGGGATCATTTGGGCGGTGAGGGAGAAGGCGACAGGGAAGACGTGGTCGTGCAAGAGCATTGACAAGGCACAGATTCAGGTGTGTGTGCCGTTGGGTGGTTGTGTGCTCATGTGTGCATGAGTGCATGTGTGCATGTGTGCCTATGAGAGCGGTTCGTATGGGTCATCAGGGCTGTGAGGGAGAAGGCGACTGGCAAGACGTGGGCGTGCAAGAGCATTGGGAAGGATCAGATTCAGGTGAGAGAGACATAGAAGGGGGCCTCACGTGGGTCGTATGGGATCATCAGGGTGGTCAGGGAGAAGGTGACGGGGAAGATGTGGGCGTGCAAGAGCATTGGCAAGGAGCAGATTCAGGTGTGTGTGGGGGGGGGTGGTTGTGTGCATGTGTGTGTGTGTGCGCGTGCGCGTGCCCGTATGTGTGCGCGTGTGCATGCGCGTGTGTATGTGCGGGCATGTGATTGTGTGTATATGTGTGGGTGTGCAAGCGTGTGTGCGTGCATGCGAATGCGTGTGCACGCTTACGTGCATGCGTGTGGGGGACGTGGGTGCGGGCACAGGCGTGGTCCCATAGGCAAGTTGACTTTTGAGTCGACTCAAAAGTCAACTCGCTTACGTGCATGGGTGCGGGGGACGTGGGTGCTGGCACAGGCGTGGTCCCATAGGCAAGTTGACTTTTGAGTCGACTCAAAAGTCAACTCGCTTACGTGCATGCGTGCGGGGGGCGTGGGTGCGGGCACAGGCGTGGTCCCATGGGCATGTTGCTTGCGTGCGTGTGTGCTTGGGTGCATGTGTGTGGACGCACTGACTTATTTACCCTCGAACAGTTGTTGTCAACGAATCGGGAACCCCTCCACAAGGTTTGGAGTTCACCCAACCTCACCTGTACACCCGAACCTTTGCGTACATCTAGTGGTCTAGCCTAAGAAACTCGATGCAAGCACTCCTTCCTTCTTAATCTAAATCCCCTAAATCTCCTCTCCTTCTCCCCCATTCCCCCATTCCCCTACTCCCCCATTCCCTCATTCCCTCAATACCCCCATCGGTCCATGCAGTGCAAGCGTGCAGTGGCGGCAATGAGGAGAGAAGTGACGGTGATGCAGCTGCTGAAGGGGCATGCGCATGTGGTGGAGATGAAAGAGACCGTGGAAGATGACACGGTATGTGTGGGTGGATAAATGGCATGGAGTGTGCGTTGATGGTATGTGACTAGTGAGTCGCGCAAAAGCAGCATGTGGTGGAGATGAGAGAGGCTGTGGAAGATGACACAGTGCGTATGGGGTGTGTGTGTATGGCATGGTAGGCTGATGTGTGCAGGCATCCGCATGTGGAGGAGCTGAAACAGGCTGTGGAGGAGCTGAAACAGGCTGTGGAGGAGCTGAAACAGGCTGTGGAGGAGCTGAAACAGGCTGTGGAGGAATGTAGAGATAGAGATGGCACGGTGCATGCGTGATTGGAGATAGAGATGGCACGGTGCATGCGTGATTGGAGATAGAGATGGCACGGTGCGTGGGTGAATGAATGTAGTGAAGTGGAGGAGCTGAAACTGGCTGTGGAAGATGACAATGTATGTACATGTGCGGTGTGTGTGTGTACGAGCGTGCATGCGTGCTTTGGGGTGGGGGGGGGAAGGAGGGGGAGGGGGGGGGGGGTGGGTGTGAGTTTGTGAGTGTGACTGTGAGTGTGTGCATGTGTGTGTGTACAGCACAGTAGGCTTATTACACGGTGCGGACCACGCTGTGTGCATGCTTCCAACCGTGCGTACATGGGGAAGATGGCACGGTATGTGCCATGGTGTGCATGGGGTGACTTTTGAGTCGACTCAAAAGTTACATGGGGAAGATGGCACGGTATGTGCCATGGTGTGCATGCTCCCCCCCCTTCACCCCACCAGCACGTGCGCATAATCATGTGCCAATCCACCTCCCCCTTCCCCTCTTCCTCTAACCATTCCCCCCCAACCCACTCCCCCCCGCACCAGCACGTGCGCATAATCATGGAGCTATGCCGGGGCGGAAACCTGTTTAACCCCATCAAGCAGCCAAGGCGCTCCTCCCCTCCCCCTTCTTCCCCCCACGTTCCCCTCGACCCGCCACTCCCCCCCGCACCAGCACGTGCACATAATCATGGAGCTGTGTCGGGGAGGGGACCTCTTCGACCGCATCAAGCAGCGGCGGCGGTATGAGGAGGCACCAGCAGCCGCCGTGCTGCAGCAGCTGGCGTTGGTGCTGCGGGCGTGCCACTCCCTGGGGGTCATGCACCGCGATGTGAAGCCTGAGAACCTGCTGCTCTGCTCGCCCCATGACGACGTTGCTGTGAAGGTCACTGACTTCGGGATCGCTGCGACAATCAAGACAGGTGAGGCATGGGGGAATAAGAGGCTGGGAAGCCCGAGCATCGCAATGTGAAGCCTGAGAACCTGCTGATCTGCTCGCCCCATGACGACGTTGCTGTGAAAGTCACTGACTTCGGGATTGCTGCGACGATCAAAACAGGTGGGGCGATGGGGTGAGGTTGAAAGGGCTGACGGTGCTGGCTGGCATAGGTCATGCATGACCCACCGCGATGTCAAGCCCGAGAACCTGATGCGCTGCTCTGCTCTGCTCTGCTCTGCTCTGCTCTGCGCTGCGCTGCTCTGCTTTGCTCTTCTCTGCTCTGCTCTGCTCTGCTCTGCTCGCCCCATAATGACGTTGCTGTCAAGGTCACTGACTTTGGGAGTGCTGAGACGATTAAGGCAGGTGAGACATGTGATAGAAGTTTATAAAATTTGAGTCGTCTCAAAACCCAACTTTTATCACCAGGCGGGGGGGTAAGGTTGAGAAGTTGACAAAGTTTATCATGTTGCTCTGGTGCTCATAAACGTGCATGCCACCAGAGCAGCCGACCTTGTTTCAGAAGCGTCATGATTGACCGCCTTCCCTTCCCCTTCCTGTTTCGTCCTGCCCCTGTTCTTCTGTCCCCCTCCCAGGCGCCAAGCTCACAGAGCTGATAGGCGCACTCATGCACATGGCACCAGAAACCTAGGCTTGTACCCATGCTCATTCCCTTCCCTTTCCTGCCATCTCACCCACTTTTGCCCCTTTCCCCTCTGCCCCCTCCCAGGTGCCAAGCTCACAGAGCTCATAGGATCCCACACGTACATGGCACCAGAAGCTCCACTCTCAACACCCTTTTCTTCCCCTTCATGCTCTTCTGCCCTCCTCCCCCTTGCGACCTCCCTCCCAGGCGCCAAGCTCACGGAGTTCATAGGGTCCCACATGTACATGGCTCCAGAAGTTATCAACAAGAGCTACAGTGCCGAGGCCGACGTCTGGTCGGCGGGAGTCGTCCTATACGTCCTTCTGGCCGGCGTGCCGCCCTTCTGGGCCTCCACAGAATCCGGAGTGCTGGATGCAATCGTATCCAAGCCGCTCAACTTCTCCTTCCCTCCATGGCCGTCCATTTCCATGGAGGCAAAGGGCCTTATAAAAGAGATGCTTAAGAAAGAGCCGGCGGAGAGAATCACACTGGACGCTGTGCTTGGTAAGTGGATTTTCCTTTAAACACTGCTCTGCACAACCCTTTCCTTTAGCCACCCAACCTGTTCCCCTCATCTTTCTCTCGCTCCCTGTCAAATCAATCTCTCAGCACTCCTTTTTTCACTCAACTCAAACGTCTTACAATATCATATTTTCCACGTCTTCTCTCCATCTTGTTTGTCTCTCTCTCAATATTTCCAGCGCTCTCCCCCATTTCCCTTTCTCCCTTTTCCTCCCTTGCTCCACCCCCCCACCCCCAACCCTTTACCGCTGCTTTTCTTCCCTCTCTTCATCCCATCCGCTCCTCTCCCTCCACGTGCCCCTTATTCTCATTCCTCAGAGCACCCGTGGATCAAGGCACACACTGCATAATTGTATGGTAGTAGGCCATAGTTACCGTAGGATGATTCTCAGATTTATTCTTTACAGTTAATAAGTCATTCCGCATTCCCTCAAATGAATTTGCACTCCAGGCACGCTATCACCACTTCAATACGACACCCAATAACGGCACAGGAAAAATGGAAACTGCAATCGCTACAAGTGGCTTACCGTACGTATCTATACTGAGACCGTCTTGTTAATGGCTAGCCGAACGGGTCTGGTAACAAGCCCAACATATAGTTCATAATAACGAAGGTTGTTAATCACTCCCATCCCAACCCCAAAGCAGGCAATTCATGCCTGAAAATGTCTCACCAACGCTCTTTCAGTGAGCCTTCATGCTGTCTTGTCTTGGAATCATCAGATCCGACCAATGACTTTGGCAATACTAAAAGCGCGACTTTTGAGTCGACTCAAAAGTCTTTCAGTGAGCCTTCATGCTGTCTAGTCTTGGAACCATCACACCCATAACTTTGGCAGTACTCAGAGCGCCTCGTTTCCCCTGGCCCCATTGCCCGTGCCATTGACTTCCTTCATGCCTATAGTTCGACACACCTCTCAATCCAAGGTCAACGCCAGCAGCAGATGAGTCAAGAGGAACCCCCGCAGCAAACAGGTCTGCAGCCGCAGCACCAGCATCAGGACCGATTGAGTCCACAGGGTCAATAGGGTCAGCGAGATCAACATGATCGGGGTCAACGCGGTCAACGGGGTCAACGCGGTCAACGCGGTCAACGCGGTCAATGGGGTCAACAGGTAAGCAGATAGGAACTCCCCAGGACAGCGACCTTCTGTGTCCCACTCTCTTCTCCTTGTGCCTCACCCCTTCCCGTCCGATCCATCGCCCCTCCATCCCTCGCCTCTCTTCTCCACGCCCTTTTTCAGGCCCATTAACAGGCTCATTTTCAAGCCCCTGTCTCTTCACATGCCCTCGCCCCTGCTCCACACGCCCCTGCTCCACACGCCCCTGCCCAAACATCCCAGAAAAGAAACCTCCAGACCACGACTTTGCAGAGGGGGAAGAACTGGGCAAGCGCGCAGCAGGGATTCGGAGTGGCAGCTCTGCGGATAGCCCAGGCAAAAGCTGATGGGACAGCGAAGGAGACAGCTGATGGGACGGCTTATGGGACAGCCCAGGAGGGGATTTAGACTTGTTGGATTCGAGCGTGTCAAACTCTCCCAGCCGCTCAAATGTCTCAAACGCCTTAAAGCCTTCAAACCCTTCGGAGAGTGCACTGCTCGATGGGGGACCCTGTGCCGGCGCCGTCCCTTCATCATCTCGTGCCGGCACCGGCCCGTGCTGCAAGCTGGCATGGAACGAGTGCGTTCGGCGGTGCTGCTGCCTGCCCTGCCCCTGCCCCTGCTGCTGGCTATTACTACTACCGGCGTTACCCTGGGAGCTACAATAACTAGTCCTTGCAACGGGAGCAGCAACAGATTTCGGGGACCGCGGTGGCAGAGCAGCCATGGGGGCAGCGGCGGCGGCGGCGGCGGCGGTGGTGGCGGCGATGGGGGCAAGGTGGCCGAAGGGGCCAGCAGGATCGACGCTTCTGCCATCATTTCCGGAAGCCTCTCTCTTCATCGGACCGCCAGGATTGCTCCACGTCAGCTGCTGCCCGCCTGCGAGCCACTCCCAGTCGTCGGGGTCGTCGTCCAGATCGTCTCCCAATCGCAGCAGCGCAGGCTTAAAGCCCGCAAAGTTTAGTGAGCTGGCGGGCTGAAAGGTAGTGGGAACCGGCTGAAAGCCCTGAAAGCCTTTAGATCCATCACAGCTGCTGGTGCTGCTGCTGCTGCTGCCCTCCCCCGGAGACGAGACATTCTTTGGAGCATCCTCGTCGGTAAAGCCTCCCGTGCTGCACGCCGCATTTCGCGCTGCACTATTAGCAGCCGTGGCGCCAGCAGTACTGCCAGCGGTAGCAGGTGTACACCCGATGAGGGGATTCACGTCCTCCCCAACCGCCCGCCATCTTTGACGCGCCTCAAGTGCAGCAGCAGTGGTGCAAGCAGTGCTGCCAGCGATAGCAGCACTACTGCTGGCTGTCACGAAGCTCACGCATTTCCCTGCGGCCGCCGTTTCCGCCAGCAGCATCGCATCCAGGCTCCCCGTGCGACGGTGCCTGCGACCCTGCGGCCTCGCGTGGGCGTTCGCGAACCCCTGCGCGACGACTTGCTCCCTGTCGTCGGGGTCGTCGCTCAGATCAGCTCCCAGTCGCAACAACGCCGGGAGAAAAACGGAAGTCGCAGGAAAGCTCGAGGAAGGCGGCAGGGGGATGGCAGCGGACATCGCGAAACTATGTTTTCTCGCTTTCGTATCGGAAACCAGTTGCCAGCGACTGGATGTTTTCTCGCTTTCGTATCGGAAACCAGTTGCCAGCGACTGGTTGGGTAAAACCAGTCGTTTCGACTTGCAAACCATTGGCTTTGGCCAATGGTTTGCGATTTGGATGCTTTGGTGGCGTATCGGTTGCGTGTTGTCCAGCGCGAGTCCGAGAAGTCGCACCTGATTTCGAGGCATGGATGGTGAGTTGTAGGTTTGGCACAGGTTTGGAAGTAGCTCTGAAGTTTTTGGCCAGTCGCGAAGCTCCACACCTGCACGTTCTGGTTGGTCGAACTTTTGCCTCTACCATCGATGGTTTGAGATTCCATTATCTTGTATAAATGTTCCCAGTGTAACTTATCGTGTTAGTTGATGTTGATTTATGTACGTGAAAACATTTACTGTGATTTCTGAATATTTTGTTGTATTTTTTGCGTATTTAACTCATGCAAATCTTTATTATGAAAATATAACATGATACTTAACATACAATGCAGACATAACATGGCGTATGAATTACGTTGGAAGTACATTAATGTAGTGTTGTAGTGGAATTAGAACCACACACCTGCTGCACATGTAACAAAATCGTTCATAAATTACGCGAAATTGGTACAGTTTAGGGTACCTTCAATCTGTATACTCCATAACACATAATCGCAAGGGCATTGCCTTATCGACGCTTGTTGTGAGTATTGTAAAATATGTCTGAGAAATTCACTATACAGATAGGAAACGTTGCACATACGATCCATCCTGGCCGTTCAATCCAATCTGTAAAATATCGCCCAGTCAACATGCGAGGAGCCCATCTACAGATAGATCGCGCGTGGGCCCTCGCAGGGACAGATCGTTCAACGTTCGGGTCTGTCCAGGTGCACAAAGGGTGGGGGATTTTGGAGGTTGCATGCGAATCAATACTTTGCCAGCGCGAAACATTGCAGGTAGGTGGATACTTCGCTTCTGCAGTTCGCACAACAGAAATGCTGGCGCGTCAGGTGTTTGCGCGCCAGATTTTCTTTTCGCTGGGTAACCAGTCGAAAATGCGTGCTGCGTCAGCCTGGCACAGCCCTGTGAGAAACAGAACGAGAAATGAAATGACTAAGGGAAAGTTGGGTACAAGTACAAACCCTAGAAAGCTGTACCCCATATGTGCTACCCCACTATAGCCTACAATAGCTATGTCATATAAATCTGACACACCCCCATAGGCAAAGTGGGGGAGAACAAGGGGTCACAAGACCAGTCAAGCAAAGTAAAGCAAGCTCAGGGTGGATCACAAAGTCACCACACATTCCGAGCACAAGTTCAAGGCCACAAGGCCAGTTCACATGCAGGATTACATATATATATAAGGCTAGACAAGCAAGAGCAGGTGTATATATATATGCAACAGTACAAACAAGGTCAAGGGGTGAGCAAGTGAGGCAAGGTAGGCACAAGACCCAGCTGAGTACAGAAGCGCTGATGATCACAATGCGCAAGTGCCTTGGTGAAGATATCAGCAGTGTTGGCCTCAGAGGCCACGTACGCAAGGCGCAGCTGACCACGCTGCTGTAGCTCACGAGCAAGGAAGTAGCGGAGAGCAATGTGCTTCGTTCTGTGCTCCAGTCTCTGCTCTCGACACAAGGCCAGCATGGCCTTGTTGTCTACGTACAGCACTGGAGGAGAACGAGGTGGCTCTCCGAGGTCAGTCAGCAGGTAGGTGAGCCAGCGAAGCTCCTGAGCAGCCATGGCCCCGACGTAGATCTCAGCCTCACAACTGGAGCCGAGAACAGAAGACGAGCGGGTAGCCCGCCACGAAACAGAGCCGGAACCAAGGCTGAAGGTGTAACCCTGCGACGACCGCTGCGTAGCCTGGTCGTCAGCCCAAGAAGCGTCAGCGTGCCCAGTGAGGACCACTGGACTCTGCCCTCCAAGCACAAGCCCCATGCCCGACGTACTGCACAAGTAGCGCAACACCCTCTTCGCTGCAGCCATGTGCTCTGGTCGGTGTCTACCAGGAGCAACATAGCGTGCGAGAATGCTAAGAGGGTATGCAAGGTCAGGTCGTGTGCAGGTCATCAGGTACATGAGGCAGCCAACAAGCTCTGGGTACGGGCCACTCGACTCTACGGACTCATCCGAAGGCAGAGCTGAGAGCGAGTGGCGAGTAGGCAGAGGAGTGGCCTGAGGCGAGGAGTACGTGAAGCCGAAGCGCTGAAGGACCTGCTGCACCATGTGTGACTGAGTCAGGGTAATGGTGCGGCGTGCTCTGTCCCGGGTGATCTGCAAGCCAAGGTAGCTGCGCAGTGTGAAATTGAACGAGAATGAAGAAGAGGGG